AGAGAGAGAGAGAGAGAGAGAGAGAGAGAGAGAGAGAGAGAGAGAGAGAGCTGTATAGTGGGAGGTAGGAAGTGAGAAAGAGAAAAAAGAAGCTGACATACTAAGCTGCAAAGAAATTAAGACATATAGGGAAAGGAGGACAGAGAGAAACAGAACGGAGGAAAACCACTGCTGCAGTTTGCAGAAATTCATAGCATTGTAGAGCTGGAAGGGACCCTTAGAGACCACGTAGCCCAACTCCCTCATTTTTGTTGTTGTTCAGTCGTTTCAGTTGTGTCTGACTCTTCGTGACCCCATTTGGGGTTTTCTTGGCAAAGATACTGGAGTGTTTGCCATTTCCTTCTCCATCTCATTTTACAGATGAGGAAAGTGAGGCAAACAGGGTTAAGTGATTGAGAACAGATTTGAACTTAGGTCTTCCTAACTCCAAGCTCAGTACTCTATCCATTGAGCAACCTAGCAGCTCTTATCTTACAGATGAAGAAACTGAAGCCCAGAGAGGGAAAGTGATTTGCTGGAGGTCAACTAGTGAATTGGTAGAAAAGCTGGGACTAGAACCCGGGTCCCCTGACTCTCAGTCCAATGTTCTTCCCATCTCAGCCGCAGTTTCATATGGATGGTCAGACTGAAGGTTTGAGCAGACACTCAGATGGTTTAAGTTGTATGAAAGTCAGTGTTGATGGACTTCTTATACCTGGAATAAAAATAAATGGCCTTCCCAAAGCCTCTACCCAGTTCTGGGGTTAATGTCCTGAGCAGGACGTAGAGTCATATCCAGAGATTTTGCTAATATTATCTCTAGAGAAGTTTGGTTGATGGCTTAGGGGCTGGACCAAACTGGTGCCATCTTTCCCTGGTGATTCCTCTTAGGACCAGATCAAGTGTCTTACTTGGGGGTCATTTGTTCATGACATTCCCCTCACGTGGAACCACCTACCCTTGCCACTTACTTAAATCCAACCCGTCCTTCAAGTTTCAGCTCAAATCTCACTTCCTCTATGAAGCTTTCCCTGATTTCAGCCTATAGCCTACAGTGATCTCTCCCTCCTTTCTGCCCTTAAAATACTTTTTGTCTTCATTCTTCATTTGGCAGCAAGCAAATGCATTTGAATGATTAATTCAGAAGATTCGGCTTTATGTCACGGCACTTAACCAGGTATGATTTTGGCCAAGTCGTTCAATCCTTCTGGGCCTCAGTTTCCTCCTCTTTAAAATGTGGAGTTTGGATGAAATGATTTTTAAGTTTCCTTTCAACTTTAACATTCTTTGATACTATATCTGTGCATGTGTGTGTCTGTGTGTGTCTCTCTGTGTGTGCATGTGTATACATGTCTTATCTCTCCTACCACGCTAAGTTTCTTGGGGTTGGACAATGTCTCTTTTATTATTTGTATCTCCTACCACTGTGCCTTACATACAGTAGGCTCTCAAAAAAAATTTGCTGCAGCTGCTATTTGAAGGGACCTCTTAAAGGAAAATCTCAAGAGCATCTTTAAAAGATGAAAGAAAGCAAACATAGTGTGGGGAGAATGGAAAGAACATTGGATTTGTGGGAAGACCTAGGTTAACATCCTGGTTTCTGACCTTGGGCAAATCACTCAATGTCAATCGACTGTTTCCTCAGTTGTAAAATGGGGATAATACTGCCTGAATCACCTACTTTACAGGGTGGTTGTGAGCATCAGGGAGATGCACTGGTTATAAAATGCTTTGTAAATTGAAAAGCATTTTGGTCTTTGCGATCCCTGTGCCTGGCATGGTATAGTCACTTAATCCTTAATAATCATTGAAACTTATTAACAAAGATAGTGTGAGAAACTTTATCAAATGCTGAAATCTGGGCATACCGTGCCTAAAGAATCCCCTGATATACCAGTCTAGTAACTGTCAGAAAAGGAAATGGCTTTAGACTGACATGACCTCTTCCTGATGAGGCTTTGCTGGCTCTTACTGATTGCAGCTTCCCCTCACAAGGGCTCATGAACCATTCCTTTACTAACACATTCCAGAATTCTGCCAGGATTCCTGTAGAAGAAGAAATGGATTTGATTATGGATTTCAGCATAGCAAACATAGGGAACCTTCTAGGTCTTCCTGGTTTCCTTTAATGAAATGGAGAAAGAGCAGTCCTTCAAGACACAACTCAGTTCCATTCAATTCAAAAACCATGTATTTAAGCAACTCTGATGTGCTGGGCATTGTCTCCTCAAGGAGCTGATATTCTACTGGGGGAAACATTCATAGAAAATTAAATGCAAAATATAGACAAACATTTTGGAGTTGGGGGGAGGGCAGAAACTACTAGGGGAATGAGGATAGGCTTCCTGTAGGAGGCAGTATCTGAGCTGAGCTTTGAAGGATGCTAAGGATTCTAAGTGGGGGAGGTAAGGAAGGAATCTATACCAAGCATGGGGGACAGTCTGTTCAGAGGTCCAGAAACAAGAGATGGAATGTGATTTATGAGGAACAGGAAGGAACCAATTTGATTAGACTATAAATTGGGTAAAGGGAAATCACATATGATAAACTTGGAAAGGCAGAATGAAGCCATACTGTGAAGGGCTTTAGAGTCAAACAGAGGAGTTAACAGTTTATTCTAGAAACAAGAGGGAGCCATGGGAGCTTCTTGAGCCAGGGAGTAACAGTCAGATTTGTGTTTTAGGGTTATCAATTTGCCAGCTATGTGGAAGCTTGATTGAAGGTAGAAGAGGCTAAAGGCAGGGAGACCAATTAGGAGGTTATTGTAATAGAGAGAGAGAGACAGAGAGACAGAGAGAGAGAGAGAGAGAGAGAGAGAGAGAGAGAGAGAGAGAGAGAGAGAGAGACAGAGAGAGAGAGAGAGAGAGAGAGAGAGAGAGAGAGAGAGAGAGAGAGAAAGAGAGAGAGAGAACTCACTGCAGAAGGCCTGAACTACAGTTGGGCTGTAGGAATGGAGAGAAGTGGATGGATGCAAAATAGATCATGGAGATAGAATTGATAAACCTTGACAACTGATTTGATATGAAAGGTAAAGGGAAGAGAAGAGTAGATGCTACTGCTGAGGTTGCAAACCTATTTGACTAGAATGTCAATGGTGCCATTGACAAAAATAGGATAGTTAGGAAGAGTAGAAAGTTTAAGGGGAAAATAATGAGTTCTGGTTTGGATATGTTGAATTCGAGATGCACAGGACATCTAACTGGAGATGTTTAACAGATAGTTGGTGATGTGGGACTAAAATTCAGGACAGAGATTTGGGCTTGATATATAATCTTCAAATCCTCTGATGAAACCACTAAAACCAACCTTCCAGTCACCTAGGTTCACAAGCTCAGAGTCATCTTTTATGTTTCCATCTCTCTCACTCTATACAATGAGTATTGCAATCAGGTGCCAAGACTTGTTGAGTTCAACTCCCCAACATTTCTTGCATCCATCTCCTTTTTTCCACACACACAGTCCAGAAAGAAAGGTTGTGAAGGTATTTAAATGCAGTTTGCTCTTGGTCCTAGAGGTAATAGGGAGCCACTGGAATTTTTGAGTAGGGGGAGTGGTGTGGGTTAGACCTGTGCTTTAGGAGTATCAGCTAGATAGCTGAGTGGAGAATAGATTAAAGAAGGGAGACACTAGAAGTAGTGAAACCAGTTAAGAAGCGATTACAAAAGTCTGGGAGTCTGAACTGGAGGGGTGGCTGTGGGAACAGAGAGAAGGGGACAGATTTAAAGGCTGTAGAGGCAGAATTGAAAGACTTGGCAACTGATTGAATATGGCTAGAGCGAGGGAGTGTACAATCCAAACCTGTTTGACTGGAAGGATGACGGTTCCATTGACAGAGTTAGCAACCAAGAAATTGTTAAAAAACCTTAGATAGAGCAATCTTAGTCAAATAGTGGGGTCATGAGACGGATTTCAAGGGGTCTCAGGCACAATACACATTACTGCACTTCACACACTCTGTGGTCCAGCCAAACTGGCTGACTTGTTTCCTGCACATGACATCCGTTCTTCCATCTTTATAACTTAAGGGCTTAGTCACTAAAGAGAGGGAAGATATAAGATAATAGCTACTGGAAATGGTACAATCAAGGGAAAGATTTTTGTCCTTAGGATGGGGAAGGCATAAGCTTGTAGGAAATAGAGAAGTAGCCAGTAGACAGTGAATGATTGAAAATTAATGAGAGAGTGAGGGTGCTAGAGATGGCAATCTGCTAGAAAAGATGGAATGGAATGGGATCAGTTATGTATATGAAAGGGTTTGCCTTGGCAAGGAGAAGGACCATCTCTTCATGTGGGACAGGGGTGGAAGAGGAGATAGAAGGGGAAGACATCTGAGCAAGGTTCAATGGGGATGAGGGGAGAAGAGGGAGCTCTTTCTGAATGGTCTCAAATTTTTTTTTGGTGACGTATGAGGCAAGGTCCTTGGCTGAAAGGGTGGGAGGAGGAGATCTCATAAGAGTCTTGAGGAGGGAGGAAAAGGTTCAGAATAGTTGATGTGATGAGGAGGCTATTAAATTGATTGCCTTGCTATGGTGAGGGCCCTGTTGAGATTGTATAACAAAAATTTGTAGTGGACCCAGTCAGCACAGTTTGTGATTTTCTTCATCGCTGTTCAGCGTGTGAATAGGAGCAAAAAGCAATGGATGGTGGAAGTAAACCAAGGCTGGAGCTTGGCAAGATATACCAAGTGGTAGAACAAGTAAGAGATTCAAGTATAGAAGACATTGTAGAGTTTAGCTGGCTCTGTGAAGGAAGGAATGAGTGAAAGTGTAACTAGGGCTCAAAAGGGTTGTGAGGCAGACTGTGGCACCAGGAGGGAGCCAGGTCTTGGTGAGGGCCAGAAGTTTGAGGAAGTAGAAGAAAAGGTTTAAGATGAAACTTAGCTTGATGACTGTGGAGCAGGCATTCTAGCATAGTGAAAGGGTCAAGTAGATCTGGATTTGGGCATTGGGTGGTAGGGGATGGGGATAAGAGAGTGAACAGCTGGGAATAGGGACTGGGGTTTGTACAGTGACAGGTGGGGAAGGGGGATTCAGAATCACTGGGATGGGGAGGGTAAAATAGGATAGGAATGCTACACTAACCACTAAGGAAGATGGTCAGTGGCTACAGAAAGGTCTGTTGAGGGAGACAAGTGATCAGATGTTCAAGGGCCTCCTTTGAGGTCCAACCTCAGAGCAGATGGTGATATTGAGTCTTGGGAGACCCAAGAGGCCAGGAACAGATAAAGGTAACAAGATGGGAGAATCTGCACAAGAGTCAAGAACTGGCAATTCGGAGTGGGTCTGATAAAAAAAAAAGGCCTTTGGAGCACTGGAGAAGACTCTGGGGCAAAGAGGCCTCAGGCAGGTGGCTGGGATCCAGGGCTGATACAGGATTTCCTTAGAAGTCTCCTGAGTGAAGGACTTACATGAGTACATGTTTCCCCCAATAGACTGTAAGCACCTTTATGGGAGGGCGTGTTTCATATTTGTTGTATTCCCAGAGCCTAACACAGTACCTGGGAGTTTTAGTTTAGTGGACTGAAAGGTCAGTATGAGTCAATAGTATGAAATGGCAGACAAAAAAAGCCAATGTGATCTTGGACTGCATTAAGAAAGACATTAAACAAAAGAAATAAAAGGTATCATTAAACAGTAAAAATTATACAGAAAAAAAAGAAGTTCAGAAGGGGACACAAATAGGGCAGTTTTGTTACTACCTTGCTCAATTTAATATGCCTTTAAAAATGAGCTGTGTTCATAGCAAGTTCACAGCTTGATATATGATTCTAGGTTTTGGTCTTTGTATGTTGAAATGTTTATGTCTGCTGATAATTAAGTTCATGATAAAAAAAAATTAAAAAAAGGAAATCCAGAATCAAGGAAGGTGATAGCTTCTATGTCCTCTACTCTGATCAGACCAGTTCTTGGAGTCACATTTTGGGAAGAACATTGCCATGTTGGCATGAATCTAGAAGAGGGTGAGCAGGATGGTGAGGGAACTGGAGAATGTGCTGTATCAGTAATATTGGAAGAGTTGGGTCTCTTTAGTCTATAGAAGAGAAGACTTGGAGGAGATATAATAGTGGTCTTCAAGTATTTGAAAGACTGGTACATGGAAGAGAGATAAGACTTGCTCTTCTTGGCCCAGGGCATGGTCCTGGAAGTAACTGGCAGAAATTTCAGAGAAGCTGGTTTT